CAGGAGTCAAAAACTGACTTGAAGGCACCAAAAAAAAAAAAAAAAAGTATTTATAATATGAAAATGTGGGAAAATGCCTTTATTTTCACCATCAAGATTCTTTAGCTAGTGGGTCTTTTGAACAAAGAACTGCATGCATACTTTTCTCTGTCAATACATTTTTGTATGGGCTTTAGAACAAAAATGGTAAATTCGTACATATTCAGTCCCATATACAGAAAGGAGCCCAAAAGTGAGTCCTACCACAGAACATATTCCATGAAATGAAGAACATCTACATCATTCTTTATAGTCACCTCCAGTCAATTCCTCCAATCACTTCCTGCTTCACTGTTAAAGAACTGTCTAATCTCTGATCATGTGCAGTGACTAATGTCTTTTCTAAAAGGGCCATGTTGACATTAAGTGGTGTGGCTTTCACACTGTACATTTTCCCCTGAGGTTTTATCTCAGTTGCTGGGCTGGTTAGTGGATATAAGGACAAAGCTTTTGTTCAGTACCTACAAGTCAAGGAGAGCAGAAGTCCACTGCCAGAATGAAATGGTTGATCCTCTTAACGTTTTACATTTGGATGGCCAGTGGATTGCAAAGGTAAGCACATTTCTTCCTTGTTCTGCCCCCCCGCCAATTCTTCTAATTGAGCATTAGAAATTACATAGTTACAAGGCTCCACTGGGGGTATCAGTCCCTTGAAACTTTTTGAACTTCCTACAAAACAAATACAGCACAGTTCCAGTATCAGCAGAAACATAGCAATAATGTTTTGTGAATAATCAGTAGTGTATTTAGGTAAGTTTAGATGTATTAATTGTATGGCGGGAGGGGTCCCAAAATAATTATGGGTATTACTTTACTCTCTTCAAAATATAACAAGTCCATCCTGATGTTCATTCTGCCCCAAATACCTGTACTGCCAACACCACTGTTCATAAATATATTAAGGGTGAAGAATCATCAAATCACACCTTGCAAGAAATGTTGCTAGTGGGAATCACATAGTGGACAACAGTGAATGCCAGATGAAAGATGAATCACAGGAGATCTATTTGCTACTATGATGAATTGGATTTCTTTCAGAAAAAGAATCAAGTGTTGGATGTGATACATAATTACTTTCATGTGTGCCATGGGCAAAGTTTTCAAGATATGAACACATTAAAAACCCTAAACTCAGTGGAATTCTAGTACTGCCTCATAAAATTGCTTTTCGCATTATCTTATTTCTGTTAATCAGCATTAGCCATATAGCTCCTTCCTTCGTCCCCAGAGTTACCCTGAAAAGACACCGATCTTTGCGGCAAATATTGAGGGAACATGGGCAGTTGTCTCAGTTTTGGAAAAAATATAAGATAGACACGATCCAGTACACCCAAGACTGCTCAGCATTTCAAGAAACCAGCGAACCCCTCCTTAACTATCTTGATGTAAGTTTTAAAGCCAAAGGAATGAATGAGGCCACGGGGGCAGAGATGTGTTAGCTACAAAGTGACCATTTTTTCCATGTCAGAATTTGGTTTTATTAAACTCTTAGCCTGTACTTACAACACAGCCTATAGAAATCCTGGAATTATTTGACAGCATGCCACATATTGCTGGTTTATTATATGTTATGAGGTCATTGAGGAATGCAATGCTGGCATTGGACAAAGGGTTCTATTCAGTTTATATGTATGCATTATGAATATTCATTATTTCTACTGATATGGGGCACTATCATCTGGGGAGAAGATACAGTTGCCTTAAAGAGTTGCAAACATGGGCTATGTCTCTAGACCTATGTGCTCCAAGGCACTTCTAAAGCACTGCACAGCCCTCATAATTATGCTAAAGCCCAAAGCAAATACCATCCCTCAAACATGGATGTATGTATCTGTCTGCCAAGCAAAAAAGAGAGAACAATGATACTCCCACATCTTTCCCACTTAATCAGATATTTCAAGGGTATCAAAGTCTTCACTGGATACTTAAGAGGACTGCGAAATATTTGGCTACATTTGCAAATATAAAAGCTGAGTATAGGTGGAGGCTGGCAGTTTAGCACTTCTACAAACAAGAAATAGAGTGCCACATATAGATTCTACACTCCACCACCTCTTGATATTCCTTGCTCTTAGTCAACTCTGAAAGTGGGTTGAAACAGAATTGGTGTATAATACAAGCACACACATCCTCCCTAAGAACTAAATGTGTCCAAAGACTTTCACAGCCTGCTTCAAAATCTGCTGGAGAGTTACAACCAAGCTCAGTTGAACATACTTAAGCTTAGCTGAATTTGTCCCTGATCATGGGAAAGTTTGTGAATAAGTGAACAGACACAATTATACTCCCTGCAGGCCTTAGCACGCAAAGGTGTGAAGAATGTGGAAGGGTAGGGCCAGGCTTGCATGCATGACCATGCCCTATTACTTCTCACCTTTTTAGATATGTCTGAATGCCTGTAGAGTGTTCTATCTACTCCAAAAATCCTTTTTCCTTTTACACATACCTGAATACACTCCTTTTGCTGTATGGTTGTGATGGTAAAGCAGAAGAATGAGCCAACTTCTTTACATTCTAATAGATGTCTCTTTTTTCTTCTTCTAGACTTTGGATTTATGTAACATTCTTATGCCTCAAAAAGGATACATCCAGGAGCATACTGATAATAAAATAGGAGATACTTCAACTGGGAAAATAAATACATATTTTTATCAAGAAAATATTGCCATTTAAATGCTAGGGGTGACAAATAAAAATGTGCTTGTGTTCCTATTCTGGCAGGTAGAATACTTTGGACAGATCTCCATTGGGAATCCTCCACAGAATTTCACTGTGCTCTTTGACACTGGTTCCTCCAACCTCTGGGTACCATCTGTTTACTGTGTCAGCAAGGCTTGTGGTATGGATTGGGCAAGGGGGAAGAGGGGCATGTTTCTGATTTTAGATACATCACCTTGATTTTTGCTCCATGTAAAATGGATACACATTAATAAAACCCAGAGAGAGGCCTGTTGGGTTTCTTAGATGCCAAACACTGATTTGCACATGGCAGAGACCATAAGAAACTTACTTTAAATTATGCTGTGTGAAAACTTAACATTTTTTAATGTTAGAGGTACTTGTAGAACTTAGCACTATGCATATCAGTAAATGTTCTTCATGCTTCCAGTAAATCCATATGTATAGCAATTTGCAGTAATCTGATTTCCTGGTAAACAATTGCACATAATAGTCATGGCATAGCACATTTTTTATGTGCAACACTGTAAATCCAGTTATTGAGGAGAAGTATAACACTGTAAGCTACCATTCTGTTGTAGTTCCAGTCTAGGTACTGAACTGTAGGATCCTAACATTTTGTCCACTCTGCAAAACAGAAACCAAATCTCGCCACTTGGGGACACATTTACAGTGATAAATGCTAAAATAAGATTGCATTCAGAAAAAAAGATTTGTTATGAAAAAAAGGTAGAAACTCCTACCTGAAAGTAATTGGATAAGTTAAGATTTGTAATAATAATTTAGCAGCACAATGCTAAGTATGTTTATTCAGAAGGAAGTTTCACTATAAAATATAAGACAGCGTGGATGGCAACCCAAGGTTCTTGTCCTTTGCATACTTTTTCATGAGTATTCTCTATTGCATGCCAAACAACTTATTTTTGAAAAAATATGCACATGAGATAAGACCATATAGCATATGGAATGCTTGTATAACTTAGGTTAGCATAGTTACAGTCATGAAGTATATTTTCATTACCGGATCACTGTGGCATCAGATGGCAACTCTCATGTGCAAAATGGTCATCTTGTAACCAATGCTATAAGTAGAACATTTATATTGCTTTATTTTAAATAATTTATTATGTCTAAGAATAGACTTATTTTTCCATTCATTGTATATAGCTGTGTGGATTCATAAGGCTGTAATCTTGAACATACTTGAGTAAATATGCATAGGGATGGACTGCAAAAGTCCATAGGCCAATTAAGGGGTGTCAGAGATACAAGCATTCAGCTTTTTTATTTTTTCAATTACAGTTGAACATTCCAGATTTCACCCATCAGAGTCCAACACCTACACTGAAGTGGGTACTTCTTTTTCCATTCACTATGGCACTGGTAGCTTGACAGGAATAATTGGAATGGATCAAGTGATTGTAAGTGAAATATCCTATTGTGATTTTAAAAAGAATGTGATGCTTTATCCTTTAACCAATTATTCTCTGTTACAGTAAGACATTATCCAGCCTGTAGAGGACTACAGTATATATGTTTATCACTGAGTTCTAAATACACAGTTCTTTATAGCTTCAATGTCCTTTCAGGGAAAGTGATCATCACATTACAAAACTGGACCATAAGATATTTTGGTGGTATGCACCCAGGTTGCAAGTTATCACTAATAGGCTTTGCTTTCATTTTCTATGTGTGTCCATATAATTCATTAGTAGAACTCTGATTAAATCTATCTTCCACTTGAGCAACTGGCCTTCCCTTTCCCTCTTTCCTCCTGTGGTCTTCCATGCCCCACACATGAACACAGGGGGCATTCCCCCAACCCCTTGAAGCAGGTTTTAAAGATATGCATGGAGCGGCAAGGGAGAATTGTCCCTGTCCCATCATGGAAAGGGCTATCTGGACAATGTTCTTTGTTTCCCGTGTGTTCTTCCTTTCTTCTAGAACAGCCTCTCTCAACCTTTTACCCTGGAGGAACCACTGAAACGTTTTTCAGGTCTCAGGGAGCTTCTGCATAAAAATTATGTTATTTATAGCTAGCATTGCACAGTGCGCAAAATTTAACACCCCCCCCTTCTTTTTCAATCATCTCTTGTAGAATCCCTAGCGACCTCTCGCAGAACCCTAGAGTTCCACAGAACCCCAGATGAGAAAGGCTGTTTTAGAACAAGAAAGAATGACAGACTACCTTTGAAGTTTGTTTAGATTTTTTTTTTTTTACTTTGTATATACTAAGTCTTACAATAGTCATGTCCACACTGCCACTTAGCCAGAGCACAAGCATGCTCTGGCAATATCTTTTTCCTTCTGCACCCATATTGTCTTCATCTCATCCCCAGCCCATCAATGAGATAGCCTTAAATTGCCCTTAGCAGTACCATTGTGAAAGTAGCATTTTATCTTGTATTCCAGTACCATCCAAGGCAGCACCAACATTTGCAAAATATGTTAAGCTTTGTCACCCATTATTTTGAAGGGAAGTCAATTGACTGCAGTGACTGGGAACAGAAGCTGGATAGGGTTGGGAATGGGGGCAGAAAATTACACACCAGTATGATTTTCTGCCAGTTTGAGGATGGGTAAAGAACACTTCAACTCAATCGTGGGGAAAGGTCCTATACTTTGAATATATAATTCAACCTGACCTTGAACCAGAATACTGTTCCATCTATCTCAGTACAGTTTATTCAAACTAGCATTAGCTGTCCAAAATCTCCATGGTGAAATACAAATTCCAGTCTTTTTTCATGGGAAGGCAGGCAGGCAGGCAGGCAGGCAGGCAGGCAGGCAGGCTAGCTGGCTTTCCCTTTTAAAAGAATTCCACGGACCATTAGTATGACTGGTTTCTTGCCACAAAATTTATATCTGGGACTTTTGTTCTTCAGGTTGAAGGACTCACTATAATCAATCAACAGTTCGCAGAAAGTGTCTCTGAGCCTGGTAACACCTTTTTGGACGCAGAATTTGATGGGATACTTGGTCTGGCCTATCCATCCCTGGCTGTGGATGGTGTCACCCCCGTATTTGATAATATGATGGCCCAAAACCTGGTGGACCTACCAATATTCTCAGTCTACATGAACAGGTAGAAGAAGTTGATTCTTCATGCCAAATAGTTAGTAACTTTTCCTTCCAGACCACTGCCTGCTTTACATAAAATCAGTAAAAACTAATACCAAAGGCAAGCACATGGTTGGCTATTTAAAAAACAATTGTACAGCAGGAAAGCCTTTTCCTTTCTGTATAAGTTAGTCAAAGGCTCCTTATCCCAGGATTGGAATAGTTGGGACCAGAGTCCAAAGTGAGCCAAGTTATGGATATACCCTGATTTTTGTTTAGGGTTTTTTTTTTTTAAACTCTGCACTCAGTCGTTACCGACTCTGCAGTGACTGCTTTTGGACGAATCCTTTGCAGTTTTCAAGGCTGCTG